TAATATAATAATGGTTGTTATTTGTTTCCAAGTATAGCGAGACTGCTACGGTGTTTACAATTCCCTGTTGTGGTGATCTGCTCAGGCATAGTTGTGTTTCTTCAACACCTGCAGATTGTACCTCTGGTTTATAACCTAAACATGCTTATTTGCAGTTTCTAGCAAGGAGTTCACATTCTGGTAGTTGAGCAAAACCAGTACGCTCAAACCCTCAGTCACAATGACTTGTAATTGCGTGCTAGCACAGGCAGTGACTGTTTCCGAAGTTACATCTCCCCAATTTCACTGACAAGGCGCTTTTTTACATACAACTGTGAAATCGTCTCCCCAGGCCGATGTTATCAAAAAGTTACTTTCTTTAACCAAAACGACCATGGCTCTCATGAATCGGCCATGTGCCTTACATGCACACTAGAGAACACAGAGAGTCACTCATGTACCAAATCAGGAGGCGCTGTCCACAAGTAATTAATTGTAATTCATCGTTATCGTCTGATTCGCTTTCACAATGGACTCGCGCCGAACACACGAGACTGAATTTAGTGATTTTCTAAGCGCTGTTTAGATGTGGTACAAGGCCGAAAGTATGGAGCAGCACCCCAGTGAGGATCGAACTCACTGCTCAGTCGTAATTGTTCTAACCAGACAAGCTTGCTAACCATTAAACCACGCCGAGGCGCCACTCAAGAATGGGTATAATGCTGATTCAGTCATTTCTACTAAAACTGCTGATCAGAGGAGTTCATCTTTGGAATTGTCAGCGTCGTTCCAGATTTCATTTAATAAATGCGGCTGGAGAGACCGGTAAATATTCTATGACAAAACACCTGCCATTCACGATTAAGCAATCAACTAATTAACCCGCGTGATATCTCGCTATTATCTGCATAGACGGGCGTGCTATCCACTCTCTGCGTGCACCTATGCGCAGGTGCAATTATTAAAATGTTAATATCATTGCCTCTGTGTGTGTGTGTGTGTGTGTCGGTTTATTCACTCTTGTATCTTTCTGTGTGAGTGTTTACGTACGCGTGTGTGAGTGTTTACGTACGCGTGTGTGAGTGTTTACGTACGCGTGTGTGAGTGTTTATGCGTATGTTTATTTGTGTATATTATCCCGGGTGTTTTTTGTTGTTGTTTTTTTTTACGCTGATGTTCAAATGTATTTATATTTTTAGGACGTCTCGTTGAAAGGTACACGCGTATTATACTTGTGACCTTGCACCAAATCCAAGAAATAGTTACAAATGTGCCTTTTATTAAACAACTGCAACTTTATAATAAGTCTGACAAAAGGCCACAATAGCGGAGAATTTAGCTCGTTTGGAATTCACTTATAATAGTCTACGAAACGTTCTTGAGAACCAGCGTTAATACGGGCGAATTTCAGCTACTGAATAAGTTTTTTTTTCCGATTTGATGAAATCCTTTTTCTTTTCAAATAAATCCTTTTAATATCTCTGATGTAATGGAATAACCAGTCATCTCCATGAATGATTATACTATAGGTAGTAAGTACCTATAATGTCACCCGTCTGCAAAAGACTTGAGAAAGAGTGAGAGCGAGAGCGAGCAAGCACGTCTGACCTTCCAGTTAATGGCACTCACAACTAGATTGACCTGTTGTGTATAACTGTACCGTATTTCATATTGTACTGGTTGTGTACAATAAACCTTTCTTCTAGTATCCACCTGGTGTTAAGTATTTATTCCCTTAGCATGGAATATAACAATCTCGGATCCCTATAACTAAAATTACATCAGATTCATTTGATATCATAATAATACGTCTACTTCGAAACAGTCTCTTCTCACGTGCATTCTTTGTTTGTTACTTTTATTTTGCTACTTTTAATTTTTTATTTACTGAATGCCATATTTTACAACATAACAATTATAGTGCTGTTCGATAAAAGTGACTCACCTGATTTTTTTTTTCTAAATGTTCTCTTCTCCAATGAAACGAAAGTTGAGCTAAATTTAAAGGATAAGCGATCTAAAATCCGAAGAAGCTTTGAAAGCTATTTGAATTTAACAGTAAGTACTGTCAAGCATCTGTTTAGTATAATGTTCTGGGGATGCTTTTCTTTTCATGGAACTGCTTTCTTAAAACCTATTGAAAAGACCCTCAGGAGCGAGCAGTACAAGAGAATTTTAGAGTCTTGTCTGCTCCCTTCTGCTGAAAGGGTGCAAATCGACCCCACCAAGCTCATTTTTATGCAGGATAATGCTCCCTGGAACAAATCAAAATTGATGAAGGAATACTTTGATGAGAAGCAGGTGAGTGTTATGACATGGCCGCCCCAATCTCCTGACCTCAACCCCATAGAAAACTTATGGAGCATTATAAATTACAGGCTCTCGAGAAAGCAGTGGAGCAACATGCTTGACAGTAGTTACTGCTAAATTCAAAGAGCTTTCAAAGCTTCTTCTTTGGAATTTAGATCGCTTATCCTTTGAATTTAGCTCAACTTTCGTTTCATCGAAGAAGAGAACATTT